TGAGACAGGGCCTTGCCCTGTCAACCAGGCTGGAGTGCAATGGCACATTCTCGGCTCACTGCAACTCTGCCTCCTGGGCAGGCTGAAGTGATCCCACTCCCACTGCCCCACCAGTAGCCAGGATTATAGGTGCACGCACCATGCCCGTCAAATTTTCCTTTTTTTTTTTTTTGGTAGAGATGGGGTTTCACCATGTTGCCGAAGCTGATTTTGAACTACTAGGCTCAAGTGATCTGTCCACGTTGGCTTCCCAAAGTGCTGGGATTACAGGTGTGAGCCACCGTGCCCAGTTGGAAACGATTATTCTTTCTAAATACTTAATGTAAAAAACATGAATTCAAAGACAACTAGCATAAAGATAAAAATAACAAAGTGTTTTCGGCTTTCCATCAGGAGATCATCAAAGCTAGTTTACATGATATCATTTTGACTGTGAAAAGTGGCCAGTTAAATGTGAAAAATATTTAAAGACAGATTCCTTGACTGACATTGTATAAATGGATAGACACTATTCATGCTCAGACAACCTCCCCATTAGCCTCTTTGAGAATGAGGTTTTAAAAATTCCTATTTTAAAAAAAGGCTTCAGAAGAAATATTGGTATTTGTGAATAATAAAAATACCATTAAAAACACAAAATTAATATCATCAATCTAAGCTCACACATGTTCAACTAGATGTATTTAAGTCAGGAGTAATAGATAAAAATTTCTGTTAAGTACTAAAAGTCAGAAGTTCACAGTATGAGAAGAGGAAAGGGAAAAAGAGTGAGGCAGAAAGGAAAACTAAATTGAAAAATAAAATTAACCCTTTCAAAGCAGGAGTGGTTGGGAAGAGAGTATATTATTATCTTTTAAGCAGAGATGGAAGAGTTTTCAGTAAGTGCACTAAAAAGGATGCACTTGCACATACCTGGTACATCTGACACATGAGTAATACAGCTACCCACATGAAATGGAAAACACTGTTCAGAAACATCCAAAACATCCAAGGTGAACACGTGGCAATTTGGGTAATATATGTCCAAAATCCATCCTTGGTGTAAGTGGTCTCACAGTGGAGTCCCCAGTCTAAAGCCAGAGCAGAAGTACTCAAATTTACTCAATCATCATCCAAGCACCTCATACAGGCATTGGTGCTGGCACCATTTAGAAAACACAGTCAAACAGTCTAGATTTAATTGATGACATTCAAGAGCAAATGTATTCACACTATTAAAGAACCCTATTATATCTCAATAAAAAAAAAAGAAATGGAAAAGCAGCCACCAATCTTAAAAAGAAAAATTAGTGTATCTTCAGAATAAACAATTTTATTTGATTGGTATTGCATTCACACAATACTTAGATGAATATTTTCTTTACACAAAGAGGATATACCAAAGAAATTTTTTGAAGAGGGGGCATATAACATAACAGGCTGGTGATGTGGGCTCTTTTTTTGAGACAAGGTCTTGCTCTGTCACCCAGGCTGGAGTGCAGTGGCTCAATCAAGGCTCACCGCAGCCTCCACCTCCTGGGCCCAAGCAACGCTCCCACCTCAGCCACCTGAGTAGCTGGGACTACAGGCAAGCGCAACCATACCTGCCTAATTTTTGTGTTTTTTGTAGAGATGGGGGTCTCTCCCCTTATGTTGCCCAGACTGGTCTCAAACTCTTGGCCTCAAACAGTCCACCCGCCTCGGCCTCCCAAAGTGTTGGGATTATAGGCATGAGCCACCATGCCCAGCTAAGGTAGGCTTTTATTAACACAAAATCTCCTGCTCTTTGAGAGCTGCTATCATGTATTGCTGTTGCTGGCAGCAAACTGTTCTCTCTCAGGTGTGCTGGGCTAGAAATTAGGCCAAGTTCTTTGACCTAATCTTCCTACTAATCTTTAACTGAGGTGGTAACCTCCTTTGGCTCATTAGGGCAATAACACTGATTATTATTAATATCTGTGGGCAAGGAAGACTAGAAAATCATCCTTCCAAGACTTATATTTAAAACAGGATCTAATACATCTTTATGCTAAGCATGACTAAGCCCTGAGGCATTGTAACCGATGTATTCATTTAAACTCTTTCCAGATTGCATTCTCAATGCAATAAAAATTCATCATTTCCTTTAAGGTATGAAACCCACATGATGGGAGAACAATTTATCTTTAAAAAGTTAACTTCTGATACTTACTAATATTTTCTAATATGCAATAATTATATCTTGCTTTTCAAAATATTTCAAGTTCTCTGCAAATTTAATTGTTAAGTATATGTTCCCAACTGCTTGGTAAGAAAGAGAACCAGCACAATCACTTTAATCTATAAGCTACTGTAGTAAAGCAAGCACATGATGGGGAAAATGTTGATGTATTTTACCCAGAACCTTCTCAGAGCCTATTAAACCAACATGTTTTTCAGAGGACACAAGTATTAAAAGGTGGTTAACTGCTAACTGTTTGCTTATACTGTACACTGGACATAACTGATCTCTATCTTTTTTCCCTTTTGTGTTTCATAAGGTGTCCAAACTATAATTTTAGTTAAAAGACTTTTATCATTATCATAATTTGTTAGTATGGTAAGTATAATCTGAGTATGCATAAATTTGTTTTCAAAAGGCAAAAAACTAATTGTACTCACAAGAAATACAACCATAAATCATCCAGCAGATCATAAAAAGCAAAAAGAATAGGTAGCCCATAAAGTATCTATGGTTGCCTGCACCTAAAGAAAAACACAGAAGCAAGTTTTTTCAGCTAAGCAAAAACAACGGGTAATACACTTTTTGAGGGGTATGCCATGAAAGGTATGCTACAATTGTGCTGATAATCACATATACATTATTTTAAAAAGTGATTTTCAGGAAAAATGTTTTAATAAAAATCTTAAAGAATGCTTACAATTACACACAAAGATATAATAATGGCAATGGTGTTCAAGTCCCAAAGAACTAATTCTGACCTCTAATCCTATCCTTTGTGAGGTTTAAAATAGTCCTATTTTATCTTTTTTACAAACTTTATAATCCAACTTTTCCAAGGCTTCTCCTCAACAGAATTACGTAATTTTTTGTAATGTTTCCTTTCTGTCATCTCATAAAATCTCCAGGGCATCTCTCAAACCATGTAGTTTATCTCCTTAGACTACAACATTCTTGAACACTGAGGTGTGTATGGTTCTTATCTGTCATTCCTCTCTGCCTCTATACATAATAACATCTTTTTTTTGAGATGGAGTTTCACTCTTGATGCCCAGGCTGGAGTGCAATGGCGCAATCTCAGCTCACCACAACCACAACCTCCACCTCCCAGGTTCAAGCAATTCTCCCGCCTCCGCCTCCTGAGTAGCTGGGATTACAGGCATGCAACATCATGCCTGGCTAATTTTGTATTTTTAGTAGAGACAGGGTTTCTCCTTGTTGGTCAGGTTGGTCTCAAACTCCCAACCTCAGGTGATCTGCCTGCCTCAGCCTCCCAAAGTGCTGGGATTACAGGTGTGAGCCACCATGCCCGGCCTACCTCTAACATCATTTCAATTACTGCCTTCAGTTCTCTAGTTTAACTAGAAAAAAAAAAAATTATTTGCCTCCTTATCAATTTCATTGTTACCCAATGGGGAAAGGTGAAAAGAGTAGGCATCAGACAGAATTGATAGAGAAAAGATATCAGGCACTGATTTTGTAATTTTTTCCCTCCCTCTCTCAAAAGGGTTGCTGTGTTGTCAACCAGAAGATAATTGGGGAAATGAAGGGTGAAGAACTTTCCACTGCCTACTTTAATATTATACTTTATTAATTACCTAAAGTAACTTAAATGAATGATATATAAGAAATTACTAATATAACTTACCTACACAGTTACCCACCCATGGGCAATGATGATCAAATTTTGCTATACACCGGTTGCACACACCACAATGTTTGGACCTCACCGGTTTCCGTATCTGTTAATAGGCATGTTAAAGGATTACAAAAGGCATTGTACTAAGAGAGAAAAGCTGAATATTTATTTTCTCAAAATATAATTATAAAAAATAAAACTATAATTTTTAAACAAGGTTATACCAAGGTTTCCAAATGAATGAAACCAAAAATCACTATTGTTTTAATAAAATTTCAGCTGCAAAAACAAAGAATAAAATAATGAGGCTACTCTAGAAAATATGCTCTTAAGAATGAAACTGAACCATCAATTTACAAAAACAACAACTAAGAATTAAACACCAATTTGATGTGATGAATGATGCTATGTTTAATTCACATCCGTCAAATTTCTGAATAATAGAAACAGCAATATCCAATCTTCTAAATGATGTCCCATTATGACTAATGGTCATGATATTGGTTGTTCTTTAATAAAAATTATTCCTTACTGAAAGGAAGTTCAGACTAAACGTGAATTTAAAAAGCTCTTAAAATTCAAACATCAAAAAAATATTTGTCATCTCCAAATTAACAAATCCAGCAAAAAACAGCATTATATACATCTATGTCTCTTCTATGAAGTGCCTTTTGAGATCTCACATTACAGAATTTCTCCTGCTGAAATGTATGACCATAACTAAGAATGCAGAACATGCTTAAGAAGTTTAGACAGTCACTATTTCTCGCAAAAAAACCCATAAAATTCATTATTCTGCTACTGACATGCAATAAAGAATTCATGCTTATGATGTCTGTTTTTCCTGTTTTAAAAACGGTTTTTAAAACCTGCATTACTCTAAATCAGCCAAGTGAATACAAGAACTCACTGGTGATCTTCAAAGCGCTGGCAGTCCTAATGCTAGATATATGATAAAAGAGCTGGAGTTATTAACTCTTGCAAGAAAAAAATTTATAAATATACTTCAGTGTTTCAACAAAAGCACTGCCACTTCTCCATTAGTTTGCATAAGGTTACACACTATTTTGAGGTATCAAGGAAAAGTCACAGTGAGTACGCAGTTCTTACATCTACCAAAATTGTCTGTGGAATAAAGAAAAGAGTAAGTTATTCTTCACCACAGTTGTGAGACTAAATCTACTTAGGAGAAGGCAGCAGGCTATTCAAACAATTTCTATCCCCACTTCCAACCCTCAGCTGCAACACTAGTTGCCCTTTGGGCAACACTAGTAAAAAATCTGAAAAACAGTCTCAGTCTATTGCCCAGGATGGAGTGCAGGGGTGTAACATTTTTAAGAAAGCTCTGACCTACAAACCTTAGAGACTTGTCTACTTACCAAAGTGAAGCATACCCATATAATGACAACTACCTCTGCTGATTTGCAAGATTTTATAATAGGAAGTGTTCTTTACAACAAGAAATATGTGGCTTATAAATAATATATAATAAAACATTTATGCTATGATGGCAAAAAAGAGTCTTATTCTTGCCATCAGATATTTATTTGACAATGAAACTGCTATCTGCATTGACTGACTATATAATGTGTTTGCCATATGGCAAGTACATCAGCACTGCATACTTGACTTTGTAAAACAGCGTATTTCCACAGAACAGTAGTGTATTAAAACATTCTAAATATTAAGAAAAAGAATATCAATCTTCTAAATTACTCACTATAAAGCAAAGAAACGAAAACTGTTTTCAGAATGCCTGAATATACAAAAGAATCTAGTTGGTATCTTAAAGTTGCTACCAAAAGCGAAGCTGTATATATTTTGAATATTCAAAATCATAACTGCTCAAAGAATATTAAGTGTAATAAAGAATTTGCAGAATTAGAACTGTTTCAAAAATGTATTCCATAATCCTACATGAAGTCAATGACTTTATTATTAATCAGATGTTAAGACATTAGTTCACTTGCAGTGTATAAATACAAAAGAGCATTTAGTTTCATGTACGATTTTGGGATATTTCAATTTCCATGTAGAAAAACATAACTTAAGCACTATGGCAGTCTACATATTTTTCACAAATACTAATTGTAAAAACTAAGAGAAAAATAATTTAAACATAAGAGTGTTATTCTATAGAAAACTGATGTCTATAATAATAAACAATGTCAGTAGTACTATACCTGACTCTATTAATGAATACTAGTGATTTCATATATATCTTGACCTATGAACTGGCTGACGGTGACCACTTTTAAAAATCTATGATAAAACAGTGTTCGAAGTTATATAAACATTCTGAGGTTCCATAGTGTAATGATGAGCACTTAAAGTTACATAAACATTCTGATACAAAAAAAAAAAAAAAGTACTCAAATTGAACTTGATTACAGGCCATGTTGTCTTAACAGTTATCTAATGGATTTTTCCCATGTGGCTTTTAAATACAAGCATAAATTTTCTTAAAATGTAGTAAAGAAAACAATTTACTAGGGAATCATTACAAACCTTTGATATGAAATACTTTATTACTTAGTTTTGAATTTATTGAGTAACATTTTAAGAGAGAAAGGAGAAAGAGATTGAATACAAATAAATGGCACCTCTGAATCAAAAAGTGCAATCAAGGTCTACCATCAGGAAATAAGCACCTTGGGAAGGAGACATCCTTTAACCACCTTTCCTCTTATACCACGGGGCAGGGAATGCGTTCAAAGAAATTCTTCCTTTTCCCACACCCCACACCCGCTATGCTATGCCACTGTCAGGAGGAAAAGAAGGAAGGGAAGAACAAAGAAGAAAATACTACCAAACAGGTACTGCAGAATATACTGAGGTCCAGACTTCCTGTCTCTGCAAGTTCAACTATTGTCTGTGAATTAAGAAAATAATATTTAATTCAAAACTAAACAATGCTCACCAACTCTTTTGCCATCACTATGAATCAATAAACATGATTTTCATCTTTAATTTACTGATATTTTCAGTTCAGAAAGAGAAATAAAATCTTTTTATTTACTGCTATTTCATCGAAATAAGAATACAGGGTAGCAATCTCTATGCTGCCCAAAAAAAGGGGGATTAGACCATAAGAATCTGCCATTGTCTTAGTTTATTATGGACCGAATAACTCATCAAAATTCATCTTGTTTTTAGAGACTAAATACAACAGCTCTTAAAATAATATAAAACGCTTCTATTAGAATTCTCTAAATACACAACATTGTTAGATTATAAAATTGGTTTGCTAATTACCTGCGTTATAAGAAAGGGATGCCCTGGATGGTACATACAATATTTTAGCTACTGGGATGGTGTATGTGCACTATTAATCAATTTATTGACCTTCTAGTTTAGTCATTTAGCAAACATCTACTGAATGCAAATTATTTCCTTGAGATTTACAGAGATATTTAAGATTTACAGAGGTATTTAAGATACACACCCCTCAAAGCAATCACAGTGGCCTTGTAAAGGAGAGAAACATGAAATTATAAAATGTCATGGAAGTGTTATGGACAGGCATCACAAGAGCACCAAGGGTGAGCACCAAATAAAAGATATGTAATCTCAATTTAGCTTAAAGTAACCATCTTATATTGTAAAAGATAGTTACTTCCTTTGTACTCTAGTATCTGCTATAAATACTGATAATTTGGCAGTTAAATACAAGTGATTTAGTTGGTATTATGCTACCTTTTTCTTTTGCTCTTCTGTTGCTTTAATAATCCCTGGATCTGATTTCCAAGATTTTCCAAAATTGTAGAAAAGTGCAACACTATTGGCAAGGAATGGAAGATGGATAAACAAAAAGTTGAGATGTGCCTAAAGTTAAGGAATCTAAAGAAGCAACAATGATAAGTGAATTACTATTATATATACTTACAATCTATAAAATTTTTACAAAACACCTACCAATCAAAAAAAAATACAAGCTGTTTTTCATTACGTTTATAACTACATGTAAAAATAATGTGACTTCTTTATAAATTTTAAATCATGTAGACTTATCTGACACTTTAAAAGTTAGTAATTAAAAATTCAATCAATATTTTTAAATGACTAATTTTTTGACAAAAATGAAGGGATTTCTCACGTTCAAATTTATTAACAAACACTTTATGTATATGTATTGCAATCTTTATGTATCTACCAATTACAGATATCATACTCATATATGTAAAAGATTGCTTTTAACCATAGAAAAGTCAAAAAAGAAAAAACTCACTTTTGCCTTTTTTTGAACACACTGAAACTGGTTTTAGAAAAAAATATAAGCTTGCTTAAAACCAATAATGGTTTGTATGTTCACATTTGTATGTTCACATTTTTTCTATCTCATAAAAACATAAGAAATATACTAGGCACTTATAACACTATAAAAATAAAGCAATTTTGCTAGAGCAATACATTTCTGAGACACAAAACACCGGGTATACTTGAATATCATTTGCAAGATTTTACGTGGATACAAATACAAGAATTTCACAAGATTTTTTTCACATTATCATGTGTACCCACTGTTTACATTTCTCAGGATGCACAGATAGAAAAAGAACAGCTTCTTGAATGAAATTATTCTATATTTGTTTGGAAAATACCAAAACACTAAACAGCCACTTGACATACAGGAGAAACAAAAGACGAAAGGAAAGATTAGTTAATATCACCTGCCATATTCAAAAGTGATTTATCTTTTCTTTTTTTGTCCAGTCCCCTCTTTTCCTTTAATTTTTTCCAATCTTATTCTACAAAATATACTGGTACAGCAAGCGAAGAGTAAATAAGAAGTCAAATTTTCAGCTGTTCCAACTCCAGCTCTGGAGAATCAAGTGTGTAGAATGCTGAGGCTTGGTATTACTCAGGGGCAGCACTTTTATTGATCACAAGTTTTAAAAAGGTGCTAACATGTAAATAAATAGGTCAAACTCTCAGGACCTGGATTAAATTTGCATGGGGCCAGCTCAATATATGACTATATATTTGAAAGGTATATTAAGGAATTAAATAGTCAATGAACTTATGAAATTTCTTTCCTTGCTCTTTAAAGAAATTAGGTATCTTCAAATGGTAGACTGAACTTAGCTTTAGCAATAGATTAGACAAGCTAATTTTAAAAATTTAACTGAAATAGGCTGGGTGTGGTGGCTCACATCTGTAATCCCAGCACTTAGGGAGGCCAAGGTAGGTGGATCACATGAGGTCAGGAGTTCAAGACCAGCCTGGTCAACATGGCAAAACCCTGCCTCTACTAAAAATTCAAAATTTAGCCAGGCGTGGTGGCACATGCCTGTAATCCTGGCTACTAGGGGATGCTGAGGCAGCAGAATTGCTTGAACCCGGGAGGCAGAGGCTGCAGTAACCCAAGATTGAGTACTCCAGCCTCAGCAACAGAGCAAGACTCAGTATCCAAAAAAAAAAAATAAAAAAAAAAAAAAGGCATAAAGACAGAAATAGTAACTCTACAACCCAGAATTAAGCTTCTATTAATTTTGGTATTCTGCATTTTTAATTATGACTGGTATCATAATATACCTAATTAACAAAATAACACATTAATCACCAACTATTTGCCATTTAAGAAGCACAAGAACCCTACGATAAATCCTGCTATTATCCCCACTTTACAGATGATACAACTGAAGCAGAAGCTACATTGTCCAAGATTACAGAATGAGTTAGAGGTAGAACATGTATTAAAATTCAGACTATTACCTATGCTATTCAGTCTCACCAAACTACTCAACACAATTTCCTATGCCAATATCTTAATAAAACATGAGGTAATCTCAAGTAATTTTCTTATAGGTATATTGATCAGGTTTAGTCAAACTTCTCCTTTCTTAACCTTCAGACCTGGGGTCAGCTAATTTAATCATTCCAGTGTTACAAACTTTTAAGAATATCCTATTTAAAAACATTTGGAAAAGCAAAAATTTCTCTTTAAAATTTCTGAAATGGCAGAGAGGTATCCTAGCAAAGTCATGAAAACTACCTTAAGTAAAACTCAAGAATACATAAATCTTCATTTACTCAGTCAATAAACACCTAGAGTGCCCATCGAATGTCAGGCACTATGATATGCTGACTTTCTTCTTTCTCTATGTTTAGTGGCAGAAACAATCTCTTAGGTATGAACAATTTAAAGGCTTGAGATATAAATATAAACACACACTTTTATACTATTATTTTCCAGAAAGACATCCAATTTATAACCCCACAAACAACACATAACTGATTAGTACATTTGCATTAACAGTAATGAAAAAAAATATGTGCTTTTAATTTATATTTTT